CTGTTTTCAAACTTTTTGAGCTAAGCCCCCCACCTTTGAGTTATAATTTAAATATATAAACTCCCTCCCTCCCTGGACCCCACCATGCGGAGGTGGCTTGAGCCCCAATGACCCCTGACCCCCCAAATAGAAGTCAAACTACACCTATTCCCAAGGCCCCTGTCCCGAGGCACCCCCCCTGCCCCTGCTGGGCCCTGGAGTTTTTATAGCCTGTCGAGGGGGGCCTCAGAGAGAAAAAGGTTGAGAACCCCCTGATGTAGGGGACCCCATCTCTTAAAAAAAAATCCTTTTCCCTACTGCAAGTTATTTCTACATATGAACAGCTTTGAATCATATGCTCCTAACTACTAGGGTGATGTGAACATTAAAAACCCATAGATAAGGAACATTGTCTCTTCTACAACCGTAATACTGTTTAAATAGAATTTTTTATGCCTTTGTTATCATTTCCTGCATATGTCAAAAATGTATTCTTCCAAGTCAGTTACAAATGTGCATTCACATTCATTCTGACCTCAGGTTAATATTTTGCTCTTCTATAGCGTTATTTCATCTGAGCATCACAAACCACTTCCTGCACTGCGGGGTATAAGGAGCGCCCAAAGAAGTGTACCTTTGCGGGGGAGGGAGAGGGGAATCAGCCAACAGCGAAATGGAGTAATTCTGATCTAAAGAACAATTTTTTTATATGTACTGAATAGATGCTGCGAGCTGCTCCACTCTGCTGCTCAAAAAATGTGTTAGGCACTGTTCCAAAAATGTGCGTTAAGACCAGCAATGAAAGCCTGTGCCTGTCCGTTGCCATGGGATTGCGTCACTAGAATGCACAGCGATGGGGAAAATCTTTGAACAATGGTGAGAAAAATGCCTGCCAAAATTCCTGGTCCAAATCTCTTTTGAAGTCAGTAGACTTCACCTGGCTCTACTGAGATTGGATCAGGCCCAGAAAAAAATCTGAAATCAAAACATTTTTGAATTACCAAAGCATCATATGCTAATTATTTTTAGGACTGAGCTCATCTTGCTTTGATTTCTTTATATTATACTCAGTAGAGAAGCCAAGAGCTGCATGGACAGAGACTTGACTTTTCTTAGAGGTGGTCTCTGCACACCAGGGTTGAAGCACCTTCCTAAGGTGATATAGGGATGCTCACGCAGCTGTTTCTTGTTGGTTGAGCCTCTTTCGCAAACACTGACGCTTAGAAAAAAATGACTCTGAATGGGCAGCCAAGCCAATTTCTGCTTTGTTCCCCAGTGTAACTTCAACCTAGGAAAAAAGGTGTGGTTTTAACATGTTAGTTAATGTGCGCTAAAATCCTAATGTAGACAAGGCAAATTAGCTGGTCAAGCTGAACCTTAGACTCCCGACTAGGGTTTACTTCAACTAGTTAACGTGTTTTAAACAGTAGACCATGAAAACAAAACCAAGGATTGATGACAGTAGGACATACAGACACAAAATGCTACAGGAAAGAATAAATTAGGATATATATTCCTTATACATTGTGGTCTTTAGTTGTGCTAAGTGTAATTTTTTTAAAACATTGCCAGAAGGATACTTAAATGGGAACAATGAAACTGAGCAGAAGTCACATCTGCATGAGTTATTAGCTAGCTGTGATGTATTTATATAGTAGTAGTGACTATATCATATGGAATGTGAAGAGGAATTTACTTTCTGAAATTGGTAAATAACTGTTTTGTGTTCATGCGTATCTTTTAAAACTAGTGAGCATAAAAACTTAAATGTTCTTCTTCAAGTGCTTGCTCATGTCCATTCCATTGTAGGTGTGTGTGCGCTGACATGCGCAGTCGTTGGAGACTTTTGCCTTAGCGGTATCCATAGGGCCGGCTGTGGTGCCCTCTGGAGTGCCACACTCATGCCGCGGTACATCAGGTGCCGCTGTCCCTGCGCCCTCTCAGTTCCTTCTTACTGCCTGTGGTGGTCAGTTGGAGCACCTCTGTCCCTTTCTCACAAGCGGCCAGCGGTTTCCCTTCTACCTTAGCCTTGTTCTTCTAGCTGTAAATAGTTAATGGTTTGTTAGTTAGTTGTGAAGTACCTGTTAAGTGTTCTGTTCTCTGCAGGACAGGGACAAGAGCTCCCCGTCAGACGCCTTCCTCATTCCGTGGTGGGGAGCGCTGATGTACGCCTTCCTGCCGGTGCCATTGATCCACGAGGTCTTGCTAAAGGTGAAGCAAGACAAAGCAGCCGTCATCCTCATAGCCCCAGCGTGGCCTCGGCAACAGTGGTTCGGCACGCTGCTGAGTCTGTTGGCAGCCACCCCGTTGCAGCCACCTCTTCGGCCGGATCTCCTGTCCCAGAACCACGGCAATCTGCTGCAGCCGAACCTGGCAATGCTGCACTTGACAGCCTGGCTACGGCGTGGCTGAGTGGGGATGAGCAGCGGTGTTCCGCTGGTGTCCAGCAAGTCCTGCTGGTAGCAGGAAACCCTCCACCAGGCTACCTATGTGGCAAAGTGGAAGCGGTTCACGTGTTGGGCCGCAGATCGTCACGCTTGTGCGGCGGAAGCCCTGCTGCAGGACATCCTGGACTATTTTGCTGCACCTTAACCTCCAGGGCTTGTCGCTTTCTTCAGTCAAGGCACACCTGGCGGCCATTTCGGCATTCCACCCTCCGTTTCAAGGCAGGTCGGTCTTCACCCATCCCATGATGGCATGGTTCCTGAAAGGCCTGGAGCACCTTTACCCGCATGTCCAGGAGCTGGTTCCCCCTTGGGACCTGAACCTGGTGCTGTCAAGGCTCATGGGTCTCCCCTTCGAGCCTTTGGCTTCCTGCTCCCTTCTGCTTCTCTCCTGGAAGGTCTCCTTCCTAGTCACTATAACTTCGGCCCGGAGGTGTTCAGGGTGTTCACATTGGAACCGCCTTATACAATCTTCTATAAGGACAAGGTCCAGCTGCATCCACACCCGGCCTTTCTGCCCAAGGTCGTCTCCCAGTTCCATACTGGTTGAGACATATATTTACCGGTCTTCTGCCCTAAGCCTCATGCATTGGATGAGGAACACCGGCTGCATACCCTGGATGTCAGGCGGGTACTGGCCTTCTACACAGATAGAATGAAGCCGTTCCGTAAGTCAGCGCAGTTGTTTGTTGCTGTCACAAACAGACTGAAGGGTTGCCCAATGTCTACCCAGAGAATATCATCGTGGATCACTGACTGCATCTGCTACTGTTATGAGCTGGCGAAGGTGCCTCCGCTGGCAATCGTGATGGCTCATTCAACTAGGGCGCAGGCATCCCCGGCATCCTTCCTCGCTCAGGTGCCGATCCAAGAAATTGTCGGGCTGCGACCTGGTTGTCCATCCACACATTCGCTTCACACTATGCGCTGATCCAGCAAGCCCAAAATGACGCTGGTTTCAGCAGAGCTGTGCTCCAATCTGCAAGACTGTGAACTCTGAGTCCACCTCCAAGGGCACTGCTTGTGAGTCCCCTAGAATGGAATCGACATGAGCAAGCACTCGAAGAAGAAAAACGGTTACCCACCTTTTTGTAACTCTTGTTCTTCAAGATGTGTTGCTCATGGCCATTCTATTACCCACCCTCCAGCCCCTCTGTCGGAGTTGTAGGCAAGACGGAACTGAGAGAGCATAGGGCTGGTGGCGTCTGATATACCGTGGCATGAACGCGGCACTCCAGAGGACGCCACGGCTGGCCCTACGAGTACCGCTAACGCAAGAGTCTCCGATGACCACGCATGTGGGCGCGCACCCTACAATAGAATGGGCATGAGCAACACATCTCGAAGAACAACAGTTACAAAAGATAGGTAATCATTCTTTATTTTCTGAAGGGCTTACTAGTGTGTTCTCCAGTTAACCTTCCTGGTACAGTCATCTGTGACTTGAATACATTTAACTTCTTTGAAATGCTATATACTTTACAAAAGGGTTTCCCTTGAGTATTTCTATAGAAAGTCTTTTATATACCACCGTGAGTCATGCAGTGTGTGTAACAATCAATGATTTAAAAAATAATTTTAAAAATTGTAATTGGATTTTTCTTTTAATTAAATTCACATTTGTTTTTTAAAAAAATCTATTTACAATTTGAATCTGACAACCTATATTAACTTGTAAACTTATAATTATTAAAATTGTTTAAATAAAAAATATTAAGCAGTACATATTTGCTGTCAGATTGTAAACAAAGTCAAACCACTGAACTGGTGAAAGTCACTGGCCAAGCGTCTGGGTCCAGAGTTTGCTGAAGTGCTAAACCAGCTTTTGACAGCAGTAGCCTCTTTTGCAGGTACAGAGAAAATACTTTCTTCATTTCAGTTTATTCAACTAATAATAGTGCACTGGTTCCCAAACTTTTTACCTCGTGCCCCCCATTACCCCTGTCCCCGCCCCCAGGAGTGGGGCCATGGCTTTGGGAGGCAGGGACGCAGTCA